GACTTGGTGAGTGTTGTTTTCAGTTTCATAGTTTTACTCTGGGGAAAGGTTGGTAGCCTATGTATGCTTTATTTTGATGCTTCCCCTCTTTTCCTTGCAGAAAGAATTACAGAAAAGTCCAATGGGTGAAGGAGAAAGAAGAGAATTAATAGAGGGAGAATGTGGAGGAGGTAAAGGAAGAAGTGAAGGAGGAAAGGAGTAGGAGTAGAAGGCGAAGGAGGAGAAGGTGAAGGAAGAAGTGAAGGAGGAAAAGACTAGGAGTAGAGGGAGAAGGAGGAGAAGGTGAAGGAAGAAGTGAAGCAGGAAAAGAGTAGGAGTAGAGGGAGAAGGAGGAGAAGGTGAAGGAAGAAGTGAAAGAGGAAAGGAGTAGGAATAGAGAGAGAAGGAGGAGAAGGTGAAGGAAGAAGTGAAGGAGGAAAGGAAATGAGTAGAGGGAGAAGGTGAAGGAAGAAGTGAAAGAGGAAAGGAGGAGAAGTAGAGGGAGAAGGAGGTGAAGGAAGAAGTTCAGGAAGAAAGGAGGAGATGTAGAAGGAAGAGGGGAAGGAGGAGGAAGTCACATTAGCAATCCACAGCCCATCACTTACTATTTTCATGTGGCAGCACCCCACCTCTCCTTTTAGACATTTGTTTTTGGAATGGTCCTAATTTGGAAATGATTGGACAGCCTATGACTGTAGAATTCTGCACATATGTTTTGCTGCTACCTGCACTTCTCCCTTAGAATACAATTTCCCCCTCCATTTGCTGCAACCAGCCCTGCATTATGCACATATAAAATAAAAATTAACAAAATGAAATAAAATAAGGATAAAAAATACATTTTGATTAAGAATCTGCCAGTCTGGGGCAACCCAGGCCAAGAAATTTCTACTATATATGGAGGGGTTGCAATGCAAAAAGCTTGGCAAGTTGGGTTCAGGGCACTGGACTTAGAGGCAGGTGCTATCTTGAAATAAAAATGAGAGTTTAGTATCAAAATGACAAAAGCCACAAACATTTTTCAGTGCCAGAAGAACAGAAAAGGCCACATACTTTGAAATGCAGGATTTACCCTGCAGTAAACATTATCCCAGCACTGGATGAACCAAAATATAAATTCTTTGGCAGGTAAAACAGCCCATATATGGATTTTAATAATGTATTTAGCTGTTTGTTTAGAGTTCAATGTTTAAAAATTTTAGAATCTGTCTTTGAAACAGAGTGTACTTGTTTATTCATCAGTATATGATGAGAAATGAGAGGAGAAACTGCCCACAGCTGATTCATATGTAAGAAAAGTGTTGGAATAGATATAAACCATGAAAAAACAGCAAAGTGTCAATACTGACCTTTTTATAAATAGGTCCCATGACATTTAAGGTATGGTAAAGCATTTGTGAGAGATGAATGTAGCAAGGTTAACTTTCTATAGAATGTGATATAGTACATGCTGTACATATTATTTATGCAAACATTTCCAGACAATAATTTTTTTCATACCGGAGTATGGAGACGACATACTGTGTACACAAGCAGTTGCATTCAGATTTAACTAAACATTCCTATTTTTTTTATATAATAAGAAGAATTAAACAGTTCTGTGTTAAATTGGCCCTTTCAGTTACTTCACAAGTCTGTGTGAATAAATTCCTGATATGTATCCATATACAGAAATATTATAATGTATGATAAAAGCTCCATCATTTATCACGCAAAAGCAGTCTTACACTTACGCACTTAGCATGCATGCACTTTATAAACAATATGTCAGATGCTAGCCCCACTTTAAAGTCCCATTTTCATGCATATAGAATCAAAAGGCAGTGTATAACTTTTACTAAAGGAATTTTCAGTACACTTTTTTCATGTTTTCTTATGATCACTGAAGAGTTTCATGGCTTGCAAGCCCGCACTTGACCATTATTGCTGTGTTGGGTTGTTCTTTGTTCTAAGAATTCTAAAGCTTGTTACTATCTAGGTACTAACTTAACATTGTATTTCTTGGCAATAATGTTTTAAAACATTGATTTTTGCTGCTAAATTTGTTTTTAATTCAGTAAAATTAATCCAGCCTATCCCTGGAGAAAGAAAAATCCTCCTTTGCAGTGAGACTGTCCCTGCACTGCAAGTGTTAAATGCTTTGTTAGGTTTAGAGTAACCAGAAAAGCATTTTTACTTACCAGAGTACCAGAAAAGCATTTTTACTTACCCATTCCTCCTCTCCTACAGGCATAATCTGTACTATTAGACCGGTTCCCTCAGGATCTCTTCCCTTACGTTCCAACATTCGTAGGTCCATTGATGTTATAAAGTGTAATGCAGGACCTATAGCCCTTCATTGCACATTAGGACACTGAGGGGCAATTAACAAGCTGAAGCATAGGCAAGTAGAGGAGAGGACCTTCTGCAAGGGGAATAGGGGATCAGGTAAGTAGAACTGCTTTTTGTGGTACCCCAGACATAAATGATCATTTAAACCTTGCAGTATGGGAGCCAGTGCCATCTTGGTGTGGCTAAATTATGCTAGTCTGATTAGAATCAGCAAATACAAGCAGGGAATTATCCCAAATTAAATTCACCCTGTACACTGACCCTCTCTTCCCCTGTATTAGTTTTTTATTTATTTATTTCCACTTTTTTTTTCACAATGCTGGTGAGGGCGCTTTGGTGAAATTTTGGGGTCTAAACAGACCCCTGATGTCTCATTTTTGGAACACGAGAAAGGTACTGGAGACAGATTTTCCTCAGCTGCAGTGAACAGTGAATGAATGGGATGTGCTCTGTGCTGAGCATCTTCCTGTTCATTCACAAACTGAAGCATAGTAAACACAGTTTACTAGGATTCAGTTATGAATGAACACAGTGAGTGATCAGTACCGATGTCTCGCTGTGCTCATAAAGGAAGGACTGGCAGGTATGATAGATTTATATTCCCACTCCCACCTCCACCCCCGCTCTCTATCTGAACATCCCCTGTGCCCCACAGCAGCCGATAGGAGCAGATGGAAGCCAGCAGCACTGCAATGGAGGGGGGGGGGAAACACATTTCAGGGCCCAGGTCTGAACCTGTTAACACTACTGTGTCTGGCAATGTCTCTTCTTGCTGCACCACCTGAGATGCTGGATAACACCTTGTCTGATCAATTGAATGAACCCTCAGCTGACAAGGCAGTGAATAAGGGAGTACACATGCTGCAGCCACAATGGTTTGCTTTGTGACTGTGGCTTGAATTATACCCCAGTTGCATTTAATGGACACTACTGCTTACTGAACGCAACCCATTGAAATAAAAGGGTCCACACTGCAGCCTCCTCACCACCGCGTGCAATGCTTGTGGGTGTAGTGGGGTGATGCAGCATTTAGGGGGTTAAAACAGGTGGTGAGGAGGTGATATGTCAAATATGTTGATTCTGCCTGTCAGATGCCTCTAAAATAAATCTGTGCACAGATTGCTTTTTAGAGGTGTGGCAGTCTTTTACAATCAGAGACTCAGAGCAGCAAAGGGAGTGTTCAGACTCACTAATCATCCAGCCAGGATCTATGTGCCTACTGTAGTCTATGAGAACACTAATTCAGCATCTGTCCTGCACATACAGTGCACACAGAAAGCCCTTTCACGGTGCTGTGTGTGTACATCAGGGGGTAGAGTATGTGTGCTGCACAGTTGCTATCAAAATGACAATTACTCAGTATATGCAGTGCAGTTAATCATTTCATCCTAGCATTGCCAGCAGTATTCCCCTGATGGGGCCCCATGTTCACCTGGGGTCTCTGGGCAGTGCCCAGGGCTGCCCATGCGATAAGACAGCCCTGGCGGGAACAGCCCCACTACAGGGGATTTTCTATTTTCTTGGAATAAGGTTTTAAAGAAATAAAATCCCTGTTGATATCTAAGATATATTTTGTCTGCACTCTCTGTTTTCTGTAGATATTATTTAATTCTCGCTGTACTCTTTGAATTTGAAAATACATATTAAAAGGCTGGCAACTCTTCTGTGGCTCCTAAAAATATACTAATGGGGCAGTATGCTATATATTTCCTTTCTGCAGGTATTGTTTAATCTTTAAAAGTTATGAAATATCAATATTCATATTTCAGTTCTTTCCATGTATACACGCACAAAAAAAAATCTCCAAACCTCATGCTCAGCATACATGCACTTGCCTAGCTTTATTCTCATTCTGGCATCATACACATGCATACATGTAGGTGCATGTGTGTTAATCATCATCTATAAACAGTTCCACCTAAATCAATCTGAATCTACTGTAAAACATGAACCTGTGCTGTGCCCTTGTAGGGCAATGTCATCTGTTGATATCAGCATCCTCCTTTGTTCATAATTTCATATATACCTCACTTTGACCTTCTCAGATATGCTTGTGTGTAAGCTCCACATGACAGTGCTGGGTGCTTGAACATCAAGTAGGAAGGAGAAGCCAAATACACCACTAGTGGAATGGAGGGAAGGTTAGTTTTACAGTGCACAGGAATAGTGCATATAATAATAATAATAATAATAAAAAAAAAAAATATATATATATATATATATATATATATATATAATTATTTAAACCAGGGTAAGAAAGAGTTGCTTGAATTTATCTGAAACCTTTTCTTTCAGTCAGAAAATGTTAGCATTCACCTGTTTATTTTATTTATTCTTTTAAGAAAAAGCTTATGGTAAAAACCAAAATAGCCATTCCCAATATTACTTTTTATTAATTCATCAGGCAGATGGTCAACCTTCAGGGGTGATCACCATGCTAAAGCATTTGCACAATTGCCCCAGGTTCAGATATTTGTTTTCCAGTGGAGTAAAGTTCAGTCTTGGCACTCACAGAACGATAATGAGGTGGCGTGTGCAGTGGGTCTCACGAATTGTGGGTGTGGCAAAATTGTGCACAGAGTAGGAGAGGTTTAAAACTTACCAGCCACGTGTATATGGTAACATATGTCATAGCCTATGTACCCACATAATATGCTTTAATATGCTTTAATGACTGTGCCACGGTACAGATGACCAGAGACTGCGGACACAGTACAGGAGATGATCAGAGACTGCAGACAGTACAGGGGTTCACCAGAGACTGCGAACATAGTACAGGGGATGACCAGAGACTGCGGACACAGTACAGATGACCAGAGACTGCGAATACAGTACAGGAGATGACCAGAGACTGCGGACATAGTACAGGGGATGACCAGAGACTGTGGACATAGTACAGGAGATGACCAGAGACTACAGACATAGTACAGGGGATGACCAGAGACTGTGGAAAGTACAGAACTTCGGACAGTACAGGGGATGACCAGAGACTTCGGACAGTACAGGGGATGACCAAGAGACTGCAGACAGTACAAGGGATGACCAAGAGACTGCGGACCTTTGGGGAAGAAGGGTGGGCAGGTATCTGAATTGACAAGTACCCGCTCTCACTTCCATGGAGTTGTCCTCCCTTTAGTGTGGACAGCCAGGTGCCCACTGCGCATGCATGAGAAGCGCTCCACTTTGTGAATGGCACAGCATCTTCTGGAACCTGTCATGTGTCAGCACTGGACCAAGGAACAGGTAAGGTCCTGCTGCAGAGAAGAGCTGAGCATCCGGCCGGTATTCTGACATGATGGCGGCGGCGAAAATACCGATCCGGCCGCTAAATATTCGCTCCATAAGACGCACTGACATTTTCCCACCTTTTTTGGGGGAAAAAAGTGCGTCTTATGGAGCGAAAATACTGTATATATATATATATATATATATTGAAAACAAAGGCACAAGAGGAAAAATGTTCAGGGGTCAGGAGTATATGATGTACCTAGAATGCAGTGGCCAGGAGTATGTCATATACAGCCTAGCGTACAGAGTGCAGTGGTTTGTGAAAGTAATCTATTACAGTCATCCATATTAAGGTGTCCTATAGAATATCCTTATGGAATGATTTCTATGCCAGACTTATGATGCATTTGGTATAGAGCAATGTGAATGTACATTAGATCATATAGAACATACTGTGCTATTAAATAATAATTTGAAATGTAATGTCACCCCCACATGAACTCATGTAGAACATCCAGCAGAAAGTAAGTGAAAGTTGTAAGAGCCAGCTAGGGGACCATTCCAGACTCCTGGGACAGAAGAAGTTACAAAGCTTGCCTCCAGCAAACTCAGCCATGACCCCACAGTGCTGTGCCCCCTCTGCAGTGTTGGTGTACCCCATCCTGGTTGCATACTGTGACTACATTCACAGCACTTGCCGTCCAGATATGGGGGTTTACGAAAGCTGGTTCACTCAAAATCTGGTGCATTTCTGCATGGAAACCAACAAGCTTCCAGATTTTATTGCTAAAGTTTAATTAAACAAGCTGCTGTTAGGAGCTGATTGGCTACCATGCACAGCTGCACAAGGTTCTGAGTGAACCAGCTTTAGTAAATCTCCCCCATGGGAAGTAGGCAGTCTCAGTTGAGTGCCTGTCGGAGGTTTGGCCTATTCATTTTGAAAGACCTGAGGAATGGAGATCTGTTAATTGGGACTTTCTAGTCTGCTGATTTTTATCGCCTACCTGATCTACCTGTGCAGCTGATGAACTTATTGGTGGGGTTTCAGACCCCCGTATCACCCCACTTCTCTACACCCCAGAATCAAGGCATTGTGAGCACCATGCATTAAGAACCACTGTCGCAAAAAGGATTGTATCTTGATTTGATTAATACTTGAACTTGCAGGTTTCAGTATATGAAATCTTTTTTGTCTCAAGTCTTTATTTATATTGTTCAACAACAGTGATAGTGACAGAGTTAGGGACAAACCATAAAATAAAACAGTCACCTTTTATTAACATGGTTTAAATCTTAGACAATTCTTAGAACTGATCCAGCAGTCCTGGCAGTGTTATAATTTGCTCCAAGCTCAATTGCTTTTGCTGGACTGCTTGACCTACATATACATGCAGAGTAAAATTAAAAATAAAGGCAGGTGAAATTTAAAAAAATAAATAATAATATACATATATACACACATTAATATGAAAATATATACTGAATACTATCATTTCATGAATTAAACAAATACAGTTATTAAAATATAGACATTTTCAAAGTAGCAGACCTTTAAAAGCTGATTATAAGGATTGCCTCTGCTATTCACCCATCCAATTAAAACATTCTGACTCCTGTACAGGTTTTATTGGGCAAATTGGATTCTAATTGGGAGTCTGTATTGATTATCTGCAGGTCAGACAGATCTGCATGAACATATTCAAGTGAATCAAAGCTGATGAATCTTCTGATTTGATAATTTCTACTCTGATGTAAAATTACATTATGCGTAAAACCGCTCTCTGGACAAGTTTGTTTAAAGGAGATTTGTAATCAAGAAAAGAACATCAGATTCATTTGTAATAATAATCACCTTACTCAAGAGTTCTTATTCTTTAGAGCAGTAACCGATAGCAACCAATCCGAATCAATTTTTGAGAAAGAAAACCTTAGATTTAAAAAAAAAAATATGTTTAAGAAATCAAATTCCCTAGATTTCAGCAGAGTTAATTTAATTGGTCAATAAAGGTTCCTGTCCTTACAAATAAGCACTAACAAAAGAAAAATGCTACATTAAACAAGGCCAACATATATTGGGCTTGATTTACTAAAACTGGAAAGTAGAAAATCTGGTGCAGCTGTACATGGTAGCCAATCAGCTTCTAACTTCAGCTTGTTTAATTAAGCTTTGACAATAAAAACCTGGAAGCTGATTGGATTCTATGCAGAGCTGCACCAGATTTTGCACTCTGCAGTTTTAGTAAATCAACATCATTCTGTTTACAGACATTTTGAATAATTATCTGCTGACAGAGAGTGCTGATCAGTATGCAGAGACTTTCTGGCAGTCAGAGCACATATTGAATATGTTTATTCCAAGGCTGCTGTAGTCAGGTAATGTTCAGAATAAGTGTATGCATGGTGTAATCCAGCTACTTTGTAAAGTCTCAATGATTCACACATTGTACTTTTAAATGCTTTCGTGAATAGAAGGGTCTTCTGTGATTTACCACTGCTATGCAATGAATAAATGGGGCTCTGTGTATAGGGATAGTATTCCCTATGTCCAGTCCTGTTGCTAGGACATGGAAATGGTTGGACACTCACTCCCAGTATTACAGAAGTGAAAAACAATAGTCCTAACAACAAGGCAGGATGTAGGGGTTGCTACCTAGGAGTATATTTGGACAAGCTTGTGGGGGGGGGGGGGGGGGGGGGCAAATAAATAAAAAAATTAATGAACATTTTACAGAGCTGCACAGCTTTTAATGTCCACTGGGGCCCTTTCACTGCATAGTCTATTTTATTGAAAAGATGAACTCAGCCTTTAAGTACAGAAAAAACAATATTATTTTAAGAACAGTCGTAAAAAATAACAAATTAGAAAATGCGTATGAATATTTACATAATTGCAGTCTGTTTTTTGCTTTTGACTGTCTTATAGAGCTAAGATCCTCTAGACCAGGGTTTCTTAACTGGGGTTCCATGGATTCCTGGAGTTCGACCAGAGGTTGCAAGGGGTTCCTTGATCAATGAGCAACTTCTGTATCTCAGATTAGTTCCCTCTGACAGCATTGATCTATTTAGCTACCTGTAAGGGGGTAATTCTTCCCTATGACCACAAGTGAAAGGAACATTCTTCCCACTGACCATCACACTAATGGATCATGAGTTGTAGATATAGTAGTTTTTAGTGGGGGGGTTTCCTGAGACCGGAAAGGATTTTCAAGGGTTCCTCTGTGTTGAAAAAGTTGAAAAAGGCTGCTTTAGACCTATCATATTTAGATTTGTCATCTCTTTCACATATCCTAGTGCTAATTTCTGAAGACAATTCTTTTGATTTCACATTTTCATATATATTATGCTGTTATCGTACCACGTACCACTTTTTTTTTTTTTTACCAATAGTCTGTATTTTTATTATATATGTATATTTGTTGAGTGCAAACTATACTGCGCATCCAGTGCTGGCCAGAAGTGCAGTAACACTACCTATTGTCATCTGTATCGCAGACATTTTGCTAATATACAAGATTATATACATACAGTAAATTATTATTTACATTAAATACACAAAGAAACCAATTTAGCTGCCAATATTTTGCCTTGTCCATTCATGTTTTTTTTTAGAAGATAATACTCTGTTTTTTTTTAACTCCACAAATTTAAATTGATAACTGTACTTAGCAGGCTGATAAGTAGGGGCACAAACACTAAGTATCTGGCACCATTGCTTCTGCCATAGAAGTACAAGGTAATGTAAGTAAATGTTGCAAGTGGGCTTCATTAGGGGATAAGGATTATTTTAAGGGTTGGGTTAGTGTGACTCACTACTAGATAGTCTGCTCTTCTATTCACCCCCCAGTAGCCTGTAGTGTATTGTAAGTTATTTCAAACTTTATTTCTCGAGCATGTTCAGTATTTGATTAAGAGCTGGTTCACACCACAAAAACACACTCAAGTTTGGTACCGGATGCATTTCTGCATGCTCGTAAATACATTTTTTTTTATGCGTTTCTGCCTGCATTTCAGATGCTTTTTTCTGCTTTTTTTCACTGTACTAGGTTCCTGTGCATTTTTCCATGTGTTCTGTTGCATTTTTTATGTTTTTTATTGCATTCCAGTACAGTCCAGTGCAGGAAAAATGCAGCATGTTCTACTTTTTTTCTGGAACTGAAACACCCTGGAACTGACTGCACTGGTGTGAACTGTGCCTTTGGAAATTATATACCCTACTTTCCATGCGTTTGTGATGTAGAAATAAAACCGCACTGGACTGCATGTGATGGGAACTGGCCCTCAAGGTTACATGTTGGAGAAGTATTAGGTGTTAAAGTGTATCTAAACCCAAGAACAAAATGTAATATATTTATTATAGGTACTTACATAGTGCTATCAATTTATGCAGTGCTTTCCATATATATTGTACATTCACATCAGTCCCTAACCCTCAAGGGGCATACAATCTAAGGTCCCTAACTCACATTCATACAAACTAGGGTTAATTTACACAGGATCCAATTAACCTACCAGTATGTCTTTGGAGTGTGGGAGGAAACTAGAGTACCCAGAGGAAACCCATGCAGGCACAGGGAGAACATGCAAACTCCAGACAGGTGGTGCCGTGGCTGGGATTTGAACTAGTGACTCTAGTATTGCAAGGTGGAAGTGCTAACCATTTAGCTACTGTGTTTACCAGTCTATAGATGTAGAGGCTCCATACATTTCCTTTTTTCAGTTTGTGTTTTCTTTATTTTCACCTGGGGTTCCTGCCATTGACACCCTTCCTGACCTAGGGTGACTAGACAGGAGCAGGAATTGTTTTAGACTACAAAACACTTTCCTCTCGCCTATTCTTCATCAATATAGAGAGCTGTGAGCAATGCTATTGGATATCAGACAGCACAGAGAGGGAGCACAGAAATATATCAGCTCACAAAATTTCTGACAAGATCAATAGGCATGTTTTATTGACCAGTTATAACAAAACACTTTTAATGTATTTAACAGATTAAAAAGGAGCAAATAATACAAGTACACACAGAAGTACACAAAAAAATGTATTGTTTTGGGGGTTAGGTTAACCACTTTTGGGCCACTC